TCCCTGCTCCCAGGGGGACCCCGTCACGTGTTGCCCTTTTGGGGGATCCGTTTTCTCGCCCCTGGCGCCCCAGACAGGATTGCGGGCGCCGGGGGCAGCTTTTCTGCCCAGGGTCCTGACGTTACCCATCTGTGCACCCATTTCAAGTCTGTCTCCCCACCGCCAGCTCCGGCGCTGGAGCTTGACCTGCGTTCCCTGCTGTGCCCAGTGGCTTGCCTGGTGCCCAGCTCACACCTGGTGCTGAGGCCTGAAAGGACATTTCAAGGCTTCGCCCCCCAAAACCGGAGCCTTGCCTGGGACGTTCTTGCCATTTCACAGCTGAGGGCAGGACAGTGAGCAGGGCCGTTCCAGTCTCACCGCGGCAGCCAGCCCTGCTCAGTCAGACTCTTTCTTCTCCAACGTGCCCCCCAAGCAATGGAACCCGGAATCCAGTATCCTGACATGTCAAAGAGCATCTCTGGTGAACACCATGGTCTTGGAAGCCAGGCGCTCTGGGCTGAAATCCCCTCTGGGAACTGAATGTCTCTGCTTGTTTCCTTTATCTGTAAAAATGATACCTACCTCACAGGGTTGCTTTAAATATTTCTGGAACACATAGCATAATGCTAGACACGTGGTAAATACAAATGAAACAGCGTGTGCACTGGGGGCTCTCAGCAGGGATGGTCTTCCCCCCTTGCAGTCCTCTCCCACCCACTGTAGTTAAGGGAGACTGAGGCCACAGAGAGGGACACCTAACAATCTAGGGGCAGAACTTGGGGGTTTGGGAGCAATTTCCCAAGAATCCACCCCCACCCTAGGGTGAGGCTGGAACCAGGTCCACCCAAAGCCCCACCCAGCCACCCACCCCTGCCTCTCGGGCTCACAGGCCCAATCCGTGCCCGGCCTGGTGCCATTTTTCCATGGGACTCTGGCGGTGGCAGTTCACATCTGGAGTCTAGACTCAGAGGCTCTGCGGGCCGGGCCTACCGCCCGGGCTAGGCCACCGCTGCCCGCTGTTTGCTCAGCTGAAGCTGGTTAATTGGAATTAGAGTGGCCTCTGCGGTGCCGGCTGGCCGGGCGGGCCCTGGATGGCCGCTGCCGAGGTCTGTGGAACATCTGGCCCAGCCAGGATGGTCATTAGGTGGCGGGCGCCCGGCGCCACTGCCACCTCAGCCTCCGCCGGGGGCCGGTGGTGACTCAATGAGGCCTTTGTGGGCCCTGGGCCGCAGAGCCAACCGCACTGTGTGCCTGGGCTGCCTGCCCCATCTGCCGCCCTCAGAGGGGCCTTGTTCCAGGACCACACGGCCTTCCCTCTGGAGGAGGCTGGAGGCCGAAGACAAGCCCCTGAAAGGGACTCTACTGGCCAGGAGAAGCCTTTGAGATGTCCTACCCTTGCTTTCCTCTCCAAAGAATCCTAGGCCCAGAGAAGTTGGATGGATGGCTCAAAGGTGCCCAGGAGGTGGAGTTGCAGACTCCTTAGGAACTTTGGAAGTTGGATTACTTGAGGTCAAGTCCATGTCTATGGGCAAGCTGCCTCAATTCTCTCATTTGCATGATGGGGCTCATGTCCTGTCACTTGAGCCTACGCCTGTGAGAATTAAGTGAAACCCTGTACTGAGGTGCTAGGTACAGTAAGAGCGCCATATCTAGTGGGGTTATTACAACACTTTGGATTCTCTGCTCATCACGTCCTTTGGGCACCTCCAAACTGCCTGGAAGGCACTGTTATTTTCAGCCTTTGAACCTGAAGGTTGGTCAAGAGAGTGTTCTAGGCTGGGAATTGGAGGGCTGAGTCTCAGGCCCGTCCCCCTTCCCCCCTAATGTTTCTGCATCCAGTGACTCCACATAGGCAGGTGGATGAGGGCTGTGCCCACTCCTGGCCTGGTCCACTGGGGGTTCTCCTGCAGGCCAGGGCTGCTGTCTTCTGCAAACCTTGAAGAAAACCTGGCCCTGGGAGCTCCAGCTCGAGCCCAGATGGCCTCTCAAGCACTGGGCCCAATCCTTCCCCATCTCAGTTTCTCCAATGGCTCTGGCCCTAGTGCTGTGACCAGCATTGCTGTGGGAGAGGTGGCTCCTAGATTCAGGGTACTTCTGGCCTTGCAGTAGTCACTTTGGCAAGAACCCCAGGAATGACAATGATGGGGCCTTGATCTCCAGTGTGACACAGAGTCTAGGTGCTCTCCAGCTGAAGCCATGTTGACACTGGGAAAAACTGGTTTCTGCCAGCCTGGAAATAAAATCTAAACTCTTCCCTGGGAACCACGAGGCCCTGCCCATTTCTCTGGCTTTATAGATACTGGTCCCTTTGCTGAGTGAAATCAGCCTTTTGGTACCAATCCCTCCATCTCCCTTGATGGGGTGGGTGGATAGGTGACACATCCAGCACCTGTCCAACATGCTTGCTGCCCCCTAGTGTTGTAAGAACAGTGGTGAGGAAAATTGGATGGCTAGTGGGAGAGGAGCGCTCCTGGGCCCCCTCTGCTGGCCAGAGGGCATCCTTGGGGTGCTGAGCTGGCCAGGCACTGGATGGGCATCCCAGAGGTCAGGGCCTCCTCCGAGGCTGCAACAGTCCATCCCCAAGAAGGGGCTTCCAGGAAAGTTTCTGGGTGGGAGGGTGAGACCTAGTAGACCTAATGTAAGATGCTGGGTGCAGAGAACCCCTCTAGGAGTGCAGCAGTTTGCCTGGGCAAGGGGATGAATTTTTAATGTGAGGCAGTCAGTCCACAATACAAAAATCTAAAAACCAGACCCATTTTTCCCACCTGGCACTTGGGGCAGTGGGGGAAGTTGGGGGCTTCCTTTGCCTGCAGGTGATGGGGAGGGGCAGAGGAAGGCCAGGGAAGGGGGAGAGGGAACCAGGCCCAGAGGCATCACTGCAGGTTCCTGCTGCCCCCGCCCCTCCCTGGAGTTGCCAGGTCTCTGGCACCCTCTGCCTGTGCAAGCCTGTGCTGGTCCATCCCCGCCTGCCTGGTCCAGCCCTCGGAGGGTCAGGCACCAGCCACATCATTTCTCCTTCTTCTCCAGGCCCTCTGATGCTGAGGCCTCTGTTCCCTCTTTGGATTCTGTCACGGCTGCTGGATCCTTAGGATCTGACTCCTCGTAACTGACAAAAAACCAAAACAATGAAAAGAACACATTTAGAGGAGGAGGAGAGAAGAATCCTTGTGCTCTGCCATCCCACCATCCCAGGAAAACCCCTGGGCTCACGAGGAACGTCAGTCCCCTATCCACTGCCCAGCCTCCTCCAGTGCTTGACCCGGCCCCACTCTGTGCCCCTCTCAGACAGGCGGCTCTGCTTTCCCAGTGCCCTGTGGTGCCAAGAGGCGGCAAGGGTAGTGGCAAATGGGAGAGAGGTTGGGCTTGGGCGGACCAACTTGAAGCTTCTTGAACCGTCCGCTGGAGATAGTGGGGAAACAAAGGGCAGCCAGGATGAGGCTATGGCAGATGGCTGACTCCCAGGCTACATGGCAGGAGTCAAAGAGCTCAGCCCCAGGGGTGCGAGCAGGCAGGGGTTGCTCTATGGGCAAGTGGCAAGGAGCCACTCTCGAAGGCGGATACCCTGGCTTAACTCTTACTACGGGCTCCACTTATTGAGCAACTGAGTTCATGCCAAGGACAATGCCCACATTTCCTCACCAGATCAGCCCCGTGAGGCAGGAATGTGCCCACTTACAGATGAAGAAAGAGAGGCTTTCAAAGGAGAAAGTGACTTTCCCAAGATCATGTATGTACAGTGAGTAGTAACAGTATCTACTATTGTATGACAGGGCTGTTGATACCCTCTCAGGAGAGACCTGTATTATCTGTGAGGATGCTAAGGTTCGGGCTGCCCTGCTCCCTGGTGCCGTGGCTGGGTCCAGGGACTGCCTGATGGTTGTGGAGGAGCTGCCTCTTGCCACTTGCCCCTGGCAGTGCTCCCTACCCCATTCACTGGAGCTGAGGTGTCTGCCCTACCTTGGGCCCTGGGGCAGTGGGGGGAAGCGGGCAGGTGGGCACCCGCTGGGCATTACATGGCGCTGGGATTCTGCGGGCGCCGGCGGCGAGGGCCAGCTAGCTTCTGCTGCATGGAGTCGGCCAGGCTGGCTGGGGAGCCCGAGACCGTGGGGAAGTGGGTGAGCCTCGGGGTATGAGGCAGGATTTCCGCTGAGGACTCGTAGCTGTGTGAGAGACAGACAGACAGAAGGAGACGGCAAGGAAAAGACTAGAGGACAGAGACTTCCCTCCCCAGGGGCAGTGAGCAGAGCTGTGCCTTCTTTCATCTCTGCACTTTCGGCCTCTCTAAAAGAAGATGGTATTACTTGGAGAATAAAAAAGAAAAGATATATTGAGATGAGGAAGGGACACTAGGCAGCTGGGCTAGATGTCTACGGGCTGCCGGAAACACCTCTCAGATATACTGCTGTGAGAAAAGTCATGACACAGGGTGCTCGGAGAATGCCACCACCTGGGCAGGACTATGTATCCACACGTTTGCTCAGGTGCAGGGGTGTCTCTGAAGAGCTACCTACTGGGACAGAGCTGGCCTCTGTGGGGTGGCTGGGCATTGAGGGTGCTGGCCCTCTCAGAGTTATGGAATTCTGAACTGCATAAATGTGTTACCTATTTAAAAATAAATAAATGAATAAAAAAGGAAGGGCTCCAATGAAGGGAAAAGTGAAACAAGGGATAAGGCAGAGAATCAGGGGGAGGTGGACAGAAAGAGGAGACTATATGCTTTTCCACCTCAACCTAAGAGCCTCCTGAGGGGTGGGGGCAGAAAGGGGGAGCCGCAGAGTGCCTCTATGGCTGGACATTTAGGGAGACCAAGCACCAATGGGTGGAGGGGCACCCTCTGTTCTGGCTGGGGGTGTTCAGAGCTTGGCCCCATGAGCACGCAACAGGACTGGGACTGCAGAGGTTATCCCAAGGGGTGGGGTGGGGGCTGAGGCTGGATGAGAGCCAGAGGGTGAGGGCATGTGTTGAGCTCAGAGATCAGGTCGCACCCCTGCCCCCAAAGCGCCCCCAGATCTGTCCCCAAGTTCACCTGCAGCCTTGTCTCAGAGTCCATAAGACTTTACCAGGCTGAGAGATAAGGGCAGGCAGGCTGGTAGCCTGGGGCTTCTAGGCAGGGCAGGTACGGGGGAGGGGTGAGTCACAGGTTCCCTTGGAGGCAGCCAGGTGCACAGAAGGCCCTGGCGGCTGCTCGAAGGACAACTTGGAGGCCAGGCAGGTGGAGCTGGATGGAAGGCCTGAGTGGGCAGCTTCAATTGCAGCTGGCAGCTATTTCTGGGTCTCTGGCAGGCGGGGTCAGTGGTGCTGGGGAGTAGACACCTGTTGGAGTCACGCAGGCCTTGGGGTGTGGGTGGGGCTGTGCATGGGGTGTGGCTGGTGTGCATATGGCCATGGGGAAGGGGTATGCATGTGACTGAGAGAGAGAAACCAGCTAGCTGTGCCTAACAGTCATAGAGGCCGCTGAACAGGGACTGACACTTGACTTATAATCTGGGTTACTTTCCACCATACTGGAGCCCCCCTATTACTCCCACATGGAAACTGAGGCCAGGGGAGGAGAAGGACATGCCTGGAGTCACATGGTGACACAGTCGATGGGAACTCAGGACTCCTCACAGTGAGGCAGCCTGTCGGGGGGGAGGGGGGATTCTACACCAGCCAGTCCATTCTCAAGACCAGCTGGCCTTTGGCTGTAGAGCTGTGGAGCTGTCTGGAGAGGCCCAAGGCCTTGCCCTCTCTTGGCTCCCAGCCCACAGAAAGGTTCTTGCTGGTGCCCACAGGCCAGGCACCCAGGTGCTGGTGGAAAGGGCGAGGGGTGGGGCTGCTGGTGGGAACAATATTCCCCTGGAGACGTGTACAAACAGCTCCACTGGCTGCCTGCAGGTGCACCTGTGCCATGCCAACGTCTGCCCTCTGCCCCCTCTTACCTGAACATCTCTGTCACTTCTCCCTTGGCCAGTGCCACCAGGACGGGAAAGCCAATGCAGGCAGGGACCAGGTACAGGAGGGCAGGCTGTAAGAGGACACAAGGTAGTGAGGGAATGCTCAGGGCCATGTCCATCACTCCACCCTTTCCTGGACATGACAGGGACAGCTACTGCCCAGGTTCAGAGTGAGTCAGTGGCTGGGCGTGAATCTGGGCTCCTGACTCCCAGACCTGGGAGGGAAGGCAAGAAACCCAAAGAAACACAAGTATGCAGGGCTTTAAGGGTCCCCAGGAGTCTGGCTGGACATTAGGCTCAAACATGCAACCTGCTGGGTCGGTCCTATTTCCACAGACTCTCCCTTTCCCTAGACCTGAGGCTGGAAGTTTGCTTGTTCTCCCTCCCCCGCCCCCCCTCTATATATATGCGCACACACACATATATATTTTTAAAATCCTTACCTGAGGATATGTTTTTATTGATTTTAGGGAGGAAGGGAGAAGGAGAGAGGAACATCGATCGGTTGCCTCTCGTATGTACCCTGATGGAGGATCCAAACTCTGTGTGTCCCAACCAGGAACTGAACCTGTGACCCTTCGGTGCATGAGATGACACCCCAGCCGAGTGACACTGGCCAGGGCCTGGAAGTTTGCATTTTTAACAAATGCTCCAGATGCTGCTGTAACAGTATGACAATGATGATGACATAGCTGCTATGGGTGGAGCACGTGCTGGGGGCCTGTGCTGAGGTCACCCAGCTGGTCACTGGCTCTGCCAGGATTCATATGCCGGTGTGGGCCTGAAGCCTGTGCTGAGACTCCAGGTGAACCTGGGTTTGGAGGATGGCAATTATTCTAAGACCCTTTGTTCATGGAGAACTCGTGGTGCGCACTGAGCTCAGGCCTCCCAGGGTGTGTGTCAATCCATCTCCACATCCCCCATGAGTGTCCTCCTTGTGCTTAGAAGGCTGATGCTTTGGGAGGAGAGGGGCCCCAGAGATCTACATGGTAAGCTGGGGACTGACTCTCAGGCATACTAGACTCTAAAGCCATTCTTTTCCTTGTAGCATCTGTTCAACCCAATGGCCCCCTATGCTCCCAGTGGCCTGAAGGCCCCCATCTTCCTTCTCACCTTCACCTGCCCTGCTCTACTCTGGCCACACTTGCCTCATTGTCACCTTCAGCCTCAGGACCTCTGTGTGTGTAGCTGCTGCTGCCTGGGGAAGCTCTTCCCCCTTTGCCAAGATCTCTCCTCCTTCAGAGCTCAGCCCAGCTGTTACTTCCACGGGGAAGCCCTCACTTGCATGGTCAGGTCCTCTTGCCGCACACTCTCGGGGCCCCTGACATTCTCCACAACATTCCTGTCATTACAGACTGGAGTCTCTCCCCTGGTAGGCTGAGAACTCTGTGAGGACAGGCTTCACAGCTGTCCTTCATGGCTGGATTCCTAGCACTCAGAAGAGGGCCCTGCATATACTAAGCAAACGGTGTTTTCCTGGATGCTCACAGAGTTAAGAGGGTGTCTTGGAGATGACTGGATGAGGAGACATCATTCCTAAGGCCAAACCAGCCCCTGGCCAGAGAACAGGGCTCCACAGCCCCAAGAGTTTGACCTTCAGGTCCTTTCTGGCAGCCACCATGGGTGGGCTGTGAGCCACACCACTTCACATTATATTATCCTTGAATCCAATATACCATAAATACTAGGATCTGAGTTTTACAGACAATGCTACTGAGGTTCAGACAGGGGGAAACAACTTGCCTAAGGTAACACAGGGTGTCTGTAAGTGGTTGAGTTTGGATTTGAACCTAGGCAGCTGAGCTTCTCCCACTGCATCAGGTCTCTGCTATGAGTTAGGCTTTGGGCCAAGAGCAACAGAAATCACAGTGACAAAGGTGTACAACAGAACTTGTGAGAGGCAGCCGAAGTAGTACTCAGAGCTGATGGGAGGGGCTCCTTTGGGAGGCAGCAAGTTTGCGATTATCATGAAGACACAAAGCTATTCTTTCCTTTCCTCTCAAGGTACTAGGGAACCTCTCCAAAGAAAGTCAGTACTAAAGAGAGGCCGGGATGTACAGCTCAGGGCGGTGAGCAACGGGTTAGGACTCCTGGCTTTTCATCTCATCTTGGCTTTGCTATGTGACCACAGCTAAACCACTTTCCCCTCTCTCTGTACAATGAGGTCAGCTGATCATCTCTAAGGGCCTTTCTAGAAGGCTTCTAACCCCTGGCTCAGAGTGGCTTTTTGACAGAGGTTCAGTGGTTTGAAGATTACATTGGCAGAGGAGACCCCTACCTAGGGAACTGCTGCGTTGGGATTGCCTGTGTCTTGAAGAGAGAGAGACACCGCATGGAAGTGGCTCCCCTTCTCAAGATTTTCAGGGAGATGCCCACATGGATGACTGGGGAGAATGGCTGGGCTGCTGCTAGAGAGTAACATAGGCCTGGGCCCGGGGGACAAAAGTCCAGGGCTACAGCTGGGGCTCAGCTTGACTTGCTGTGCAACCCAGGAGAGTCTCCTTTTCTGTCTGGGCTACAGTGTCCCCCAAACAGAGGACCACCTCTCCTGCCTTTGTCCAGCTGTGTGAGGGCTCCCAATGGAATCCTGGGTAGAGTCTAGCCAAGGCAGAAGGCAAGCCTGCCACCTGGTGGCCTCCAGGGGAATGGCTCTGGGCTTGGAATCTAACGGGGCTGAGTGGGCTGAGAGCTGGAGAAGAGGTGTCTAAGCTCCTTCCCCAATCCAGGTTCAGTCACTCTCTGCAAACTCCTTGCCAAGTATAGGTCACTCTCAACTTGCACAGACCTGAGGCTCTTTAGAGCAGAAAAGCAGAGATGGCTCCCCATTGGTTCTTGGTTTCCTCACCTATGGGGTGGAGGACCTTGGCACTTCTGTAAAATGATACTAGTATCTACTTCATACATACTGTAGACATGTAAATACTGTAACAACTGAACAGCGAATGAGCAAAAGGGTTTAGCACAGTGCCTGGCACAGAGTAACTGCTCAACAAGCAGTTCTTGTGATTAATTTGAAGGTGGCTCCTCTATGGCTGGTGCCCAGGGGTGGGGTGGGGAACAGCAACAATGACAGCTAATACTACTTGGGCCAGGCATGATTCTGAGCACTTTACTTATATTAACTCATTTCATCCTCAAGCAACTCCAAGGTGGCTACGATGATTATTTACCCGCATTTTCTGTTTTTATCCATCTACGAGGAAAATCAAGAGTAAGTTCAGCAACCTGCCCGGAGTCCTACAACTAGCAAATGGTGGGGTCTGGATTCCCACCAGGGCTCCCTTAGCCTCCTTTCCACACTGCCTTTCCCAGAGCCAGGGGTTCAGAGCCTGGGCTTGGTTTCCCTATGCACAGGTTTGAATCTTGGCTCCACCACATACTTGTGGTCTGGCACCTGAACTCGTTTCATCTGTTCACAATGACCCTCATGAAGTACCAGCAGAGCCTGGCACATGGAAGCACTCTTATTTCCTGTAAAGAGTAAACCTGTCTGCTTGCTTTGCCCTCCCAGCCTTCTCCAGGTCACACTGACAGTGGCTCCCAGCCCCCACCCCATTCTGGTTCACTCTGTGGCAACTCAGTACCTATCTTGGTGGGACAAGGAGGCAGAGCCTGGCCAGCTTGGGGAGTGGGGGGAAGGGCCCCCTGATACTCTATCGCTCATCTGGCAGGGCGGGCACTGGGCTGACACACCCAACACTCACCCCAACCCCATTGTTCTGTCTCCCCCACTACCGAGACTGAGAAGTTACACGCACTCTTTCTTACCATTCCCTGGGCCACTGACACTGATCTGGCCCATAAGACGTGGGCAAAAATCTGCTGAGAAGGTTCTGGGAAGGTTCTGCCCTTCTGATGAAGGCAACAGGCAGGCATGGCTGGTACCGTTTTTCCTCCTTCTTGCCATTAATGTGTGTGCTGCCTGAAGCAGAGGCGGTCATCTTGCAACAACCACGAATGAAAGGCCAAGAAAATCAGACGCTTGCTGACACCACTGGTTAACGCCTACCTCTGTATGTGACAAATACACCCTGACAGCCCTGTTTCCTGCAGTGAAGTGTTCCCGATACACTGAAGGCAGCCCTGCTCACCTGGGCGTGCTTAAAGATGTGCATGATGAAGATGGTAAGGCCCAGGCCGAAGATGTAGGCTGCGAAGCTGGTGTAGAAGTAGGTGTGGGTGTTCTTCTTCAAGCTTCAGGGAAGAGATGGGAGAAAGAGGGAGGGTTAGATGCAGCATCCCTTCTGAGAGGGGAGCTGGGAAGACTGGAGGCTGTGGGGTGGCTGAGAGCTCTGGGATAGTCCAGAGGTGGGCGTGTACTCTGGAATTGCTCCAGCTATGTGTCTTTGGACAAGTTACTTTCCTTCTCTCAGCCTCAGTTTACTCATCTGTAAAATGGGGAAACCACAAGCTATCTCCTGGGTGGTAGTGAATATCAAATGCTATAACCTATAACAGTGGCTTAAGATTCCAATCAGCACAAAAATCACCTGGAAAGCTTGTAAAAAGAGTTCTAGGCCCAATTCCCAGGGAGTCTGATCTAATAGGTATGGGGCAAGGTCCAGGAACATGCATTTTGAAAAACCTAGGGGAATCTGATACAGGTGGACCGTGCTTTTAGAGAAACTGTAAACCTATTACATTTCAGTGCAGTGCACATAATAATTCAGTCACCTGTTGTGGATGATAAATAGATGCTGACTGCATGGATAAAATGCCAGTGAATTTCTAGAGGCGATTCACCCAAGACCAGCCTCAGAACAGCTGAATCACATGCAGCCTGGCACTGCCATTACACGACTTTCCTTTACAATGCCAGCACCTGGGACAACGCCGAGCAACATCTGTAGAATGAACGAGTACTCTGACCCCTTCTCTCCTTGCTCTGGCTGCTTCTAAGCCTTGAGCTGCAAGTACATCAAGAGCTACTCTGTTATGAAGCCTGGGGTGCAACTGACTCCCTTTGGGAATGTTGCACAAAATCTGGAACCAGCTCTAAAGGGCTTGCTTATCCTACAAGTCCAGGCTAGGCATAAGATTCTGCCCTAGGATGCTGGCAGCTGAATGTGTGTCTCCAGCAAACAGCCTGGGGACTTTCGTGGGTTTCTCTGTGTGTCACCTCTGAACAGCCAAGAGTAGAGCTGGCTGACATAGATGTGCCTTATCTTACAAACTGGCCAGGTCCCTTCCAAAGGCTGTCTTTAAGTCTGCATGTTCATGAGGTCCAACGTGGCACTACACAAATAGCCCAGATGTATGTGAGTGGGGAAAGGTTAAGTTTCACATGCAAACTGGATTTCAGTGATGTTGGTACTGAGTTTCTCATTACCATTGTCAACATAATTATTGCTTTTGCAATTACTGGGCATGAGGAAATGAAGAAAAGGTCATAAGCCACCTCAAAATTAAGGGGACACACAGCAAGCTCCCCACTGGGGTGACTGAATGCCACCTGTTGGCGGCAGGTCCAGCTGCCCAGGTGCATTATTAACTCAAGTGCGACCTTTCCTGTGTTTTAACTGGTGACTCAAGCTGGCCCTTCTCTCTCCCTTGTGCTCACTTTTTACACTGGACTGAAAAAAGTCTGAGTAAGGAGAGGGTGGGGAACAGCTAGAGCAGCTACAGCAGCCCCTAGGCAGATAAAAAATGATAATGACGATGACTGCAGCTGCATTTTCCTAGGAGCTACTGAGGTCAGCCAGTGCTCAGTGCTTGCAGATCTGCTTGGTAATCCTGAGGTAGGAACTCAGTTACCACTAGTATAAGGATGAAGAACCTCAGATCCAAAAGGTCAGGTCACTTGCCAAAGTCACAGAGGGAGAAAGTCCTATGGGTTTAAATCCTTCTAGGTTTAAATCCTCTGGCCTGTGATTTTTAATTTTTTAATTTTTGCCACAGGCTCTCTGAACACTTAGAACCTCAAAAAGCAAAATGCAGATAAAATCAGAATTGCTCTGCCTGCTATGGGGCTGGAGGCTCCTGAAAGCCATTGGAAAACCACTGCCAGTGGAAGGCCCCTCCCTCTTGGAGCCTGAGGGTTAGGGGTCCTAAGTAGCTTACCTGATGTCAAAACGCAGCAGCAAGGCAATGAAGATTCCTGCGTGGAGAAAGCCAGGGTTAGACAGTGGCAGGGAAGCCAGCACCTCAGAAGATGTAGCCCCCTGCCTGGGCCAGGGAGGAACAAACACACAACTGTGTCCCCAACCCGGTGTCCCCAGTCATGGAGCAATCACTGGGGCCAAGGGAGTGGGCTACCAGTAGAAATCCCTGTATCCCTACCATCAGGCCACACAGGACCATGAGAAGGTCCCAAGATTTTGCTTTGGCCTTGGGGCCACATTAATTTGGCATTTCAAAGCACCATACTGTGTCACACTGGCTCCTCTACCCAAATGTTTATTGAGGCTGCTAATACTGGGCACCAGAGGCAATGTAGGGGTCAGCAAAACCACTGTGCTCAGAGCTCGGCCAGGGGGCACGGGGTACACATACCGCTCGAATAGAACCAAAGTCAATGTAAGATTACAACTGTGAGAGGGTGCTTCCCGCGTCAGGGGAGGGTGTATCGGGATGAGGCCCAGGCTGGGGCGAGGGAGGGCTTCTTTGAGGAAGTGACACTTGCCAGGAGTGGGAACAACATGTGCAAAGATCCTGAGGAAAGAAGGGTCAAGGGATGTGGCAAGGGGCAAGGAGAGCCAGTAAGGCTGCAGCCCAGGACAGGACATGTAGGGGACAGACCAGCCACGCAGGGTCCACAGGGCATGAGGAGCTGGGTCTCTATCCTGAGTAAGGGGACACACTGGAAGAGGTCTAAGTAGTAGAACAACTAAACATATTTCGAAAAAGATTCCCATGGTGGCTACACGGAGAAAGAGTAGGAGTAAGCAGACCATTAGGAGGCTCTGTGGGAACTCAGGAGAGGACGGTTAACTCTGGCCATCCACAGAACTTCTACTTGTACTTCAAAATCCAGCCCAGACGCCCTGAAGCCTAAGAGTCCCGAAGACACACCCTCCAGCCTCTGCATGTTGCCCACACCAGTCTGTATCTGTCTGTCTGACAGGTCTTTGGGCTCAGACAGGGCAAGGGTTGGATCTCATTTAGCTGAGAGCAAGCTGTCAGGAACCAAAACATTCTTTGCAGATCAGAAGCACCGACTGGCAACACATACTTAACTTTAAAGAGGGAAATGAGTTACTCCTCACTGTAGACTGTATGAGTAGGGAGTTGTTGGGTGGAAAGAGCAAACAAATACTGCCTTTCTAGAAACAAAGTGGGGAATATAATGCCCCCTGGTGGCTGAATTCTGCAACTGTTCTCCAACTGATCCAGGGGTCAGAGGTCTGCCAAGAGCTTTCACTATTCCTAATGCACCAGGTCCTCAAAACCATACAGCAACCCATTCTTCTTTGAAGAATATCTCCGGGGCTCTGTGAGGGTACAGTCAACTTCCATTTACTGTGATTGCCAAAAGACTTACACATCTGTGGGTATATACAGAAACGCAGAGATGTCCCTTCCAAGCAGGCCTCAAGTCCAGACTACAACCAACAAGGTCACTGGGGAAGTCGGTGTGGGTGCCTGTGACAGGCCACGCTGCGCAGTGAGCTAAATGCTTTACGGGACCTAGTTTCTTCTCTCTAATGGAGCTGCCTCTTCCTGGGGAAGCACGCCACCTGCCTCACAGCACTGCAAGTTATGCAAATACCTGGGTTCAAGACCATACCCACTATGTTCCCAAGGCCGTAGGCAGGTTTCTTTGAACCTGTTCTTCATTTATAAAGTGGAAACACTCTCTACTTCATCAGGCTGCTAGCAGTAGCAGAGCAAATGTACGAAAAGCACCGAGCACAGTGCTTGACAAATGGTAGCTGTTGTGATGATCTTACTGCTGTAATGACTATTTTAAGAGCAGTGCTGACAGTGTCACCTATTTTTGCAGTCAGACCTGGTCTCAGTCCTGGCCCTGTTCCTTACTAGCGTGTGAAGGTAGGTAAGTCCCTCACTTCTAAGCCTCAGTTTCCTCACTGGCATGAGAGAGAAAGACTGCTTCACCGCGAAATGTATCACAAAATGGAAGTGTAACAGCAGAAGTGCTTGTACCATCCCAGGTACTAGCACTGCTATTACTTCCTGCAGTAGAAGATAAATTGGCTTTTAATTGTTGCACACTTTCTTCTTTTAAGCAAGCACCAGGGTACTTCTAATCCTCCAGGGCTAGGGGAACAAGCATGCCCTTTGGCTGCTCACTGCCCATCACCAGGCCCAGATCTGTAGACACATACATCTTGACTGCGCCGCTACAGCTGCCCTCAGAGTGGCAGTTCAGCTTTGTCTCAGTCTCTTGACTGGTTGCTTAGGCTGATGGTGCCCCAAGGAGGCGAGGCTGTGACCCCCAAGACCGTGTGCCCATGATCAGTCTGCAGACAAGGGCACCAGTGCCCACATCCACAGTGCACTTACTAGCAATGACATGCAGATAATGAGCTCAAAGGCCAGCTCATGCAGACAAGCAGGCATGTGCACATATCCCTCAGCCAAGATGCAGACACGGGAGCCCACATCCACGGTGCCCCATGTTTACACACAGGCATGTTCTCCCCGGAGCCCTGCAGCACTGGGAGAGGAGGTCCAAGGGGACCCTGTCAGTTCTAGCGCATCTATAATACTTGCAAACACTGGCGAGGGGAGTATACTGTGTAGGTGTGTGAGGGGTCAGATTCTTTCAAGACTCATGAAATGTGTGTGCTTTTTTTTAGTGTATTTCAGTCTGTCATACACATTTATTTTTGTAGCTCTTCAGTAATGCCTGTTCACCAGGCCAGAGCTCTGTGAGGATACTCTTGCTCACTGCTGTCCCTCCAGTGCCCAGCTCAGGGCCTGGCATATGACTGGTGCTCTATCACGTGTGTTGAGGTGGATTCTTTTACTAAACCCTGGGCTGAGCCAGGAGTGAGGATGTGGAACCATCTTTCCCCTTCCCTTTACCACTGGGTAAGGCAGTCTGTTTCATAGGATTCCTCCTTGATCCAGGGAACATTCCCCCAGCCCTGGCCCAGTCACCTGGAATGACGATATCGCCGAGTCCCAGCATGGCAAAGTTGTCTGCCTCGAGGCCCTTCTCCAGCAGGTCCTGGGGAAACACCACTGCAGGGGGAGGCAGGGAGGCAAGGAGTTGGTGACAGCCCAGCTCATTTTGACTTTGCTGCCTACAATACAGGTTGAGCCCCAAGCTCTGCTGTAGGAAACTCACCCACCTGCATTTCTGGGTGGGGGGACAGGGACAAGGAGGCAAGAGGATGGTGACAGGCTGAAGGGCAATGTCTTCATCTGAAACCACAGCTGCTTAGAGCAGGGAAGGCTCTAGGATCATTTGGTCAAAGGCTTAATGCCGTTATTGAGCTATATAGCAATGGAAGCCTTTGGTTAAATGGGATCGATCCTAAAGCCAAGTAGATAAAAGGGGTAAAAGAGCCCACACAATGCTGACATCTGATAGGCTTTCTGTCTCACTATGACGGGGTATGGCAGAAAGAGGTTTTTGTTCTAAAGCAGGGGAGCCTGAGCTATAGGCCCTTTCTGTATTTCTGTAGCTAGATTTCATCCTCAGGCCCTTGAGAGTAGAACAGATAGGTGTGGGTTTCAGGGTCAGAATCCTAGCTCTAATGTCTGATGTACAGGTTACCTAACTTCTCTGTGCCTTAGTTTTCTCACCTGTGAAATGGGTATAACAACAGAACTGAGACCACAGGGTTGTGGTGAGAATTAGATGATTGGCATGTTGTTTACGGCTGCCTCATGCCCTCTTACTGACCCAGTCCCGGTTTTGTGTGGGCAGCCTTTCCAGGTGATGGATCAAGTGTGCTGTAAGCTGAGACGATCAGACAAGCCTGGTCCCTGAATTCCCCACTTCCCTTGCTTCTCAGGGCGGACATGTGACCCAGCTCTGGCCAATAGTCCATAGGCAGAGGCACACTGGTGGTTGTGGGTAAGTGTATGTGCACTTAACCACTCTGCTATACTGCCTCTGAGTGCTCCTCCTAGCAGAGGAGGGCAACTGGCTTCCCCTAGCCCGAAAACCAGATTCTGAGCACCAGAAACCAAAGATGACAGTGTCATTCCCTGTGCAGAGCCTTCCAATGGCTCACTGTCCAACCTCTCTGGCATGATATCCTTAGTTTCCCCAAATCTGGCCTCTTTCCTGCTGCTCCCCTAAACTCAGTCACACTCCCTTCGGGAGTCTCTGCTTCCAGGGCCCTCCATGCAGTGTCCTGTCTCCAGCCCTTTGCTGAAGCCATACTCACTCTACCTTTTAAATGTCCATACTGCCCCTGCATGCTTGGTAAATGCGTATTCACCCTTCATGACGCAGGAAAGCTTTTCCTGACACTTTGGCTGGGTCCATCCCTCAAAGCATGTGGGGAATTACTGGTGTTCTGCTTGCCCAGCATCTGGTCTCTTGCTCTGGGGAATTATCCTCACCTGACATCCTTGCTTCTGGGGGAATGCTAATTCAAATACTGTGCCTCCAGGCACTGGGGAGAGCAGTGACCCAAGCCTGTCCAGCCTGATTCTCCATCTCCCTGGTGGGAGTGCCCGGCCAAAGCTGGGAGAAACTTGTTTTCCTCTGGGGCCACTGAGCTGGGACCATGGCATTTAGGAGCAGTGTGTGGCCACAAGTCCCTCTCCGCCTCATAGAGAAGTCCTGTCTGCAGCAGTGGAGGAGGAGACTGTGAGATAGACAGCTATCAATCAACTCTCCGAGGCCAGCTCACTCCACCTGCTGCCTGCCGTGAGCCAGTGCTTCCTGTGGGGCTCCTCGCTGTTCATATCTTCCCAATGTGACCCTCCCTTCAGCCTTGCTCTCATGCCTGTGTGGGGCAGCCTCCAATTTGGGTCTCCTGAGCCCAGGAGGTGAATCTTAAGTCATGCTTTTCCCCATCCCCCTTGCTGATGACTGCTTTGGATTTGGCCGTGACCCAATTCTGGACAGTGAAATATAAGGGAGGCTACAGGGGCACTTAGGGAAAGACATTCCTCTTCGATGAAAGAGAGACAAAGGTTCCCTTTTCTGCCTCTGGACATGGCCATGTGAGGAATCAATGCTGGGAACTGTGGCAGCCACCTTGGGATCATGAAGGGATGAGCTTAAGGGACAGGCGGGCATGCTGAGAATGGCAGGGTGGGATGAGATCACCTTGGCTCTTAGTGATTCCACTGAGGTTCATTAAGCCAAATGAGACGCTCTACCACTGGGCTTGCTACAGAGCGTAGTAACAAAATTTCCACATTGTTTAAAGATGCTTGTAGCTGGATTTTCTATATTTATAAATGATATGTGTACATGAAGAACATGACTAGAGCAGTGTGAGGCACGTGGGACAGGTGGTGCCTGATAGCTAGGGGCTAAAGGGATCCAGTGGGGGAGCTTCAGGTCTCCTCTTCTGGAGTGCCCCTGCATGCTCTGCCACAGGTGCTCCCATTCCAGCTCACCCCATAGCACGCCGCACTGTGACCAAGTGGCTAGAGGCCAGGGATTGGGCAGAGGGTGGCTGGGTGTGAACACAGCCAGATAAATCAATGAGGACAAGGGAAGCAGGCTAGAGATACAGGAGAGCTTGGAGGAGGACCAGGCGTGTGGGGAAGAGCTAAGGGACAGGTATAATCAGAACAGGGACCACAAGGGGAAGGGCCACTGGGGTGGGGGCAGAGGGGCTCCCTATGTGGGGGTGGTCACTTACATTTTATTGGTGCCTCAAAGGACCTGGCCACTGTCACCATCACATTGGTGCCAAATACCTAGAAGGAGAAGAGAGGAGTTGAGAAAGAGGTGGGGGCTGGGTGGGACAGAATGGCTGACCTCAGGCTCCTCGATGTCCCACTGTCTGAGATCTGCAGTGAGAGGGCAGGAAGCTGGGAGGGACTCGAGAGCACATGTGAAGTTGAGAGCAGGTGGCCACCACACTGGTCATAGGGACACTTCATGGGGTCCTGGTTCTGGGCAACAAAGAGGGGCAGTTCAAAGGAGTCAGAAAAGGGCCTCCGATGGCCCCCAGCCAGGCACCCTATGTTTATCCTATGTTTTGCCCCTTCCAAGAGATGTCCCTCCAGTATCACTTAAGGGAAGAAGAGGCTGCCTGGGACTGGAGAAAGGGTACCTGCAACAGGCCGACCACAATCCCACAGCAGTGCCTCTAGGTGTCAGTGTGGCAGGTCCCTTAGCCTAGGGCTGTGTAGCCAGAGCATGCAATCAACAGCAGCCTCTGTCTTCACAGCTTAGTGCCCATGCCAGGCCCATTAATCAGCATTAACTACCCCTGCCAGGGCCACCATGAGAAAGAGATGAGGGTGGCTGAAGGCACCAGGTACAGGGTGAGCTCTCAGCCAGCGGGGGACACGCTCTCTCCGTTTCATGGAGGAGGGCAACTGAGCACAGAGAAGACCTTCTCTGGGGCCTTGACTTCCAGGCCACGGCTACTGCCCTCCATCAGATGACTGCCGCCCAGGCAGAGAAAGGGCAGTAGGAAGAGACTCACCCAGAAGACATCGTAGATGAAGAGGCCACCCAGCAGGATGCAGCCGGTGCTGACGTTGTTCAGGTGCAGAAGCTCTACCCCGTTAAGGGAGAAGGCCAGGCCAAAGAGGTTGTTGGCAATCCAGTGCTGGGGGAAGGTGGGAGTGAGACCAGCTCACTGTGCCTCCCCTGCACCGTCCCACCCAGTGCTCCCCCTGCCCCCCACATTTCAGGCCCTGGCTACTTACCTTCCTCAGCAGGTACCAGACGCCAACGATGCTGCTCAGGCCCAGGCACACGAGGTCCTTGGTGTCAAACTCATAATTGATGATCTCTGGGCAGAGAGGCCGGGTAAGTCCACTCCCCGGGGCGGGGCTGCCCCTCCCACCTGTCAGCCCCTGGACGGAGGAGGGCATGGCTGTGGGCACTGTCAGAGGCTCACAGGCTGGGGGTGCTCAAGGGAGCCACCTCAGCCTCTCCATTTTCCTAGAGGAGGGAATGGAGGCTCAGAGGGAACACAGGCCAGGCCTGGTACAAGGTCAGGGGGAAGTGGCTGGAAGCACAGATTTTACACTTGTAGGTGGATGACTTTGGGGGAGGCAGTTCCCTTTCTGAGCTTCAGTTTTTTTATCTGTAAAATGAGGATCGCGTCACCTCCTTGATAGGCTGCTGTGGGGAGCAAGTGAGATGGTCCTTACGTAGTGCCCAGTCCAGTGCCTGGCACACAGTAGGCACTCAATGAATGCAAGCTGCCACTGAGCCCAGGTCTCTGGCAAGCTCCCAGTTCTCTCAGGAATCTTTCTATTTTGCCACCAAAGGAAGCAAGAAGGTTGTTGGCAGCCCCATGTCACTAGTAGAGGAGGAAAAAGGTAGGAGATGGCACCTGGAGCAAAAGCAGAAGGGAGTCCCTGAGCAGCTCCCATGGGGAGTTAGTCTCCACCATTTCCAAATTTCCTAATAAGAAAGCCCAGAGAGAGGTGGAGCATCCCCAGGGTCACAGAGTACAGCCATTTCTTTCAGATTCCAGAGTGTAGCAGATGCTGGTTGGCCACAATTTCCGTTCTTTCCTCTGTGGTAATAGTACCCTAATGATTTTTATCTGGACATGAGGCCAACTAGCTCATGGCCACAGTTTCCAGCTTCCCCTGTTGCTAAATGGGACTGTGATACAGCTGCCTCTTCTCCCGTCTGGTGGAACCATGGAGTGATGGTGCACCACCCCAGACCCAAGGGCATTGACCCAACGGCAACAGACAAATGGAGCCTGGGACCCTGAAGACTCTGTGGTGCAAGATTAGCCTTCTTTAAAAAAAAATTAAAAAAAATTCAACAATCATTTACAGATGCACCAGACATGCAAAAAAGAGTCGCATAAAATCACTGCTCTTTAAGGACAAGGCAGAACGCGCTAGGCTCCAGTAAGAGAGTACGACATTCACAAGCTCAGATTTTTACATGAGAGACAACTTCCATTTGGTCAAGCCATTTGAACCCACATCCTAACTAATGCCAAAGCGTAGGCTTTCCCCAATTCCATGTAGTTTTCACTTAAAAAAAAAAAAAAGTTTTCATTGATTTTTTTAGAGAAAGGAAGGCAGAGGGAGAGAGAAAAACATCGATCAGTAAGCTCTGGTTGCCTCCCATATGCTCCCCAACTGGGAATTGAACCGGCGACCCTTCGGTGCACAGGATGACGCTCAACCAACCAAGCCATTCCGCCCAGGGCAAAATTTACATTTTTTAAAAAGCCATGGAGCCCGCTGGGTGTGGCTCAGTGGTTGAGCATCGACCTAGGATCCAGAAATCATGGTTCAATTCTCGGTCAGGCCACATGCCCAGGTTGCGGGCTTGATCTCCGGTCGGGGTGTGAGGGAGGCAACAGATAGATGTTTCTCTGTCTCCCTTCTTCTCTCTCTTAAAAAAAAAAAAAAAAAAAAAAGCCATGGAATCTCTTTCAAAGCTTAGCTAGAAGAGCAATCATACTGAAAATAGCATGATAAAAATAGCTATGACAGCCCACTTTTACTGAGTGCTTACTACAGCCAGGCAGGGTGCTGAATGCTTTCTGTTCATCACCTACTTGTGTCCTAACAACATACCTACGTGGGAGGTAACAGATCATCACTTTTATTTTACAGAAGAAAAAAACCCAACACAACAAAAACATCCAAGGCTCAGAGAGGTAATGGCGCTCACCCGGAGTCCCCCGTGCAAGGCAGTGGCAGAGCTGGGATGTGAACCCAGGCAGTGTGACCCCAGAGCCCACCTTCTCCATCACTCGCTCTACTGAAGAGCCCCAACATCGGAGAGACAAAGGGGAGTGGAGGAGGAAGATATCCCAGGCAGGAGAAAGTGGGCAGCACTCACCTTCCTTGTTCTCCCCGGAGCCCTGTGTGAAGAGCAGCTGGTACTGTCGATTTGGGAAGTTGGCTGGAAAAAACTTACTCATGAAGGGGCTGGAAGAAAAGACAAAGGAGATTGGCAAACAGAGCCCCCGTGGGCAACCACAGCCCCAACAACCCCACAAAGCCCCCATTCACAGCTGTGATCTCTAGCAGCCTCACAGCTGTCCTGAGAGGCAGGTGTAACTGTGTCCATTTTACACATTCGGAAACAGAGGCCCTCAGAAGGTAAGTGACTGCCCAGGGTCACACAGGCAATCAGTATTTGAGCTGAGATGGGAACCTTGGTCCCTGGACTCGAGTGCTGCCATACTGCCTCTTGGTTATCACCCAAGAACACAAAGAGGCAGGCTTCTACGTAAAATGCAGTCTTGAGGAGAGCAATGGATGCCAAAGTCTGGTCCGTGCACTGTCTGTATGAAAATCCCTCGTCAAGAATGCATGCTCCTGGACTCCCTTCCTAACCTAAGTTAAACGACCTGATGGTCACCCCATTCTCTTGATTTGTGAAGCCTGAGATTTTTACAAATTCACTGGACTTGATCAGCCAGATGAATCACAGCCCCTAGGGTGGAAATACCCTCACATCAACTCCAGGATGGGCCCGGCCTCTTTTCTCATTACCCAGCATACTCTGCTTCCTGGCCAGGCAGGGAACAGAGGCTTTCTTTTCTGGGTCATTTACAGAGCAAGATTAGCATATCAGGCCTCTTGGACCAGCATGGAGTGGCTACAAGTTTGGGTGGTCCAACCCTGAAGCCTAATCTGCCACACACCAGCTGCGTGGCCCTGGGTGAGCCACTTTAGTGGCTCGTCTCCTTAGCTGTATGTGGGAATACTACCACCTGTCTTGGTAGGTGTTGCTGTGAAGATAGGAGAGGGCAGGGGAGAAGCTGGCCCAGCAGTGGATTCACAGCAGGGACATAAGAACTGTGAGCTTCTCTCATCACTGGCGCTTGTCTAGGGCCGGGGCTAGAAAGCATCTGGCAACACCAGACTGACATGACTAATGAGGTGGGCAAATCCAGAGCGGTGTTCCCAAGGGCAGGTAAAGGGAGGCAGGCCAAGAGGTAACCTGGGTACAGTGGTAAAGGCAGGGGAAAGGAAGCCATCTTTCTAAGACCCTGAGCCTTGGAGAAAGATGTAGAGTTAAGAAGGATCTCGGGGCTCAGTTTCCCCATTTGCCGATCCCTCCTAGTCTGCAAGGCTATGGCATGATGAAAGGTGTGCAGGCCCAAGGATGGGATCAGGAATGGGCTTCCAAGCATGCTCTGAGGAGGTGGGAGGTGGAAGCTGGGATGAGTGAAGCTGGAAGCTACTTTCAGCTCAGTTTGCTGAATCACTTTTGGGAAAGTCTGAAGCTAGAGTGTATGTGCAGAGGCAGAGAGAAAGCCTAAGGAACCAAGCCCTTTACTTTAGTCTGGCCTCCTCCTTAGAAGCTTGATGCTTGGCTTCTCAACCAGCAGAGTGCAGCAATTAAGAACAGGGACCCTGGGGACACACTTCCTGGGTTCAAATCCCAGCTCTGCCACTTACTGGCTGTGTAACCTTGGGAAAGTTACTTAACTGTTCTGTGCAACAGTTTGCTCATTTAGAAAACTACAATACCTCCCTCATAGTCTTATTAAGAGGATTAAACAAATGCTTGGCACCCTATAAGCTCAACTGCGTTTCAACTTCAGTGTAGGAAGTCTCCACACTGATACTTTTGTTATCCCAAGAAAAGAGGCTGCTGGATTAACACAGGGCAAGTCAAGTAACCTGGCTGGTGTGAGTATGAACTTGAGGGAAGGGTCCTGTCTCATCACCTTCACCCCACCTGTGCTAGGCCTGGTGCCGGGAGGCTGCTGGCAAATGCTTGCTTGAATGCCTCCGAATGCAGACTTTTGTACCAGGCAGACTTTTTTCTGGCTCTCAATGGGCTCATGTCAAACCTAAAGGTCACTGCTTCCTGTTGGGAAACTACATCCTGTTGCCCTCTCCCCTGGGGGTGGAAGGCACTGGTCAGAGAAATGGTGACATGGCCTCCACTTTCCAGAGTGGCAAATTTTGGGTTTCTGGGCCTTTTTCCCCCTCCAAAGGTCAGCTGGGTGGGGTGTGAGCTCACAGGTGATAAAAATAAGCTGAGGTTCCTTGGCAGACAGGATTTTGGCATGGTCTTGGTGATTGTGCAAGGTAGAGGTAGGCTGCAGGCCCTGTCTTCTCCCGAACCTTAACCTGCGGTTTCTTCCCACAGAGGCTTGAGGAAGGAATCTCATAAGCCCTGGGACTGATGAAGCTCGGGCTCAGGTCTTAGAGCCTTTCAGCATGCCACTCCCCTGCCAATCCTCAGGAGACCTCAAGCCCACTGGGAGATGGAGGCTGCCCAACCCCTTTGAGCTCTCTTATCCTTCAGTTGTGCCCAAAATGGAAAGAATACTGACCATGGAGTCAGACAGATCTGGGCTCAAAACCTTACTTTGTTCCTACCAGCTGTGAATTTCGGTGGTCCTGAGCCTCAGTTTCCCTGTATCAAACCTTCAGATCTTGTTGGATCCTGAGGAAGGGCTGACTCTAAGTCAGCTCACCAGAATTCTAAAAACACTGTAGACTTTTCTTTGAGAAAGTATTTTGGACCAAGTAAGATCAATATCCTTCCTTTTTTTTCTTCTTTAAACTAAAATGATATTCAGCCAATTCAGTTCTTTCCCATGTGAATTTTACAATAACAAGTTCATTCACACCCCCCCCCACCCCACCCCCAGTTTCTGGCCCATATCACATTTTTCAGAGAACAGCTTTGATCTTGTATGGTGAGAACACCTCTTTTGCCCATGGCTATCCATTGTTATTTTATTTAAAAAAATTTTTTTAAAAAATTGATTTTAGAGGGAGAGGAAAGGAGAAACATCGAGTTGCTGTTCCTCCCATCCTTGCATTCATTGGTTGACTCCTGCATGTGCCCCAACCAGGGATCGAACCCACAACCCTGGCACATCGGGATGATGCTGCAACCAACTGAGCCACCCGGCCAGGGCTCCACTGCTTTTTTAAGTTCTAATCTTCCCAGGTCAAATTTTGTGCTCTAAATTTTATCAAGAAAATGGTTCTTCTGATGATTTTTAGTCACTCACAAATTTTACCATGTGCAGTTTTAGCTGCTGTTGGTTTTATCTTCTGTTGATAATTTCTATCAGCAAAAATTATGAATTTGTTAAAAGGTAGACAAACAACTGTTCCTTAGCTAATCCATGACAAATTTGGGACAGTGTTCCTCAGTTACTTTCTAAAGGGAAAAAATGTCTTTGTTGTCAAAATGATACAGGTTCAAATTATTCTGTTTGAGTAACTGGATGGAGCTCTCTTGCAGGGTTGTTGAAATAAAAGTGAAATAATCTGCATCAGCACATGGCATACCAATGGCTTTCAAAATATACTGGGTTCTCTCACCCTGTGATGGTGGTTGGGCTGTAGGGAGGGGTGAGGGTTTCAAGCCTCTCAAAGAGGCAGGGTTTGGATGGGCGAGAGCTGGAATGGGGGTTGGGGTGGGGTAAGATGCTAATCAGGATGGGAAAGGATGGGTCCCAGCACCTAGAAGTAGCTTCTCGGACCCTACCTCACCCTGGGCCATCAGGAAGGGAGAGGTCTATTTTTGAGGAAGAGTGACTGGGTCTGCCACTATCTTGCTAGGGCCAAATTGCAGAGGTGCCTTTGATTTTGTAGGATGGAGGCTGGACTAGAATTCCCCCAAGGTGGCTAGACCAAGATTTTGTGGGTGAAGGTAGGTGTAGTTGAACAACACTGAACTCAGTCAAAAGACCAGAGTTCAAGCCCTGTGGCTCAGCTGGTTGAGTATCATCCCATGCACCAAAAGGCTGCGGGTCTGATTCACAGTCATGGCACATACTGAGGTTGCGGGTTTGATTCCCAGTTGGGGTGTATGCTGCAGGCAACCGATTGATGTTTCTCTCTCTCCCTCTTCTTTCCCCTCTTCCAAATCAATGAAAACATAAAAAACAAAACAAAACAAAAAACAGAGTTCAAGTCCCAGCTGTGACCTCAGGCCAGCAGCTCACTCATGGTGCACTTGGCACTGTGTTCTAGGCACGTTACGGATCTGTGACATGCCTAGATGTGTCCCATGCCCCTACCAGGAGGTACTTGGCAGATCTCCACCTTATAGGTGAAAAAGCTGGTGCTCGGAGAGCTTGTGTAGCTTACACAAGTTATGGAGTTGGCAGAGCCAGGTCTTGGTTCCAGGGCCACCTGCCTCCTGAGCTCACACTTCTGACTAACTCTGTTCTGCCAGCGTGCCTAGAGGAATGAGGCCAAACTCACCTTGGCTTTCAATTCCTTTGCGAGCAATACTCTTTCTTTCTAGATTTCTCTCTGACTGCTCTGCGAGATTCTGATTGCCTCTTACCACGCACAGACCTTCCAGCTCCTGGCCTGGCCTCTCCCTCCTTCACACCTCTTGGAAGGGTTTCCTACCCTTCCAAGCTGAGTTCAAGTTGCGTTCCTTCCTCTTGGGAACTTTCCCTGACCTGCTGGCTGCCTCATGGTCTCTATCAGTGGTTCTCAGCTTGAGACTGTACCACTTCAAGGGGCGAGACGGAAACAGATGGGGATGCTTTCATAGTTGGGCTGGGGGCACAACTCCCATCTGACAAGAGGACTGGGGATGCCAAATGTTTACAATGCACAGAGAACTGGCATGTCCAAAATGCCAACAGCAGCCCTACCTGAGGATCACTGGTCTAGGTCCTTCTTCCCCACTGAACTGACACAAGCATGTGAAGCTTAGCCCTACTGCTTATCAACTATGTGATCTTAGCAAATTTGTTAACCAGTCTGAGCTTCAGTTTTCAAATGTAACAGGATTAAAAGCAAAAGCTAACTTTATAAGGTTATCTAGCAGGTTAACACAATGATGATAACAAGAGCTGACCCATGAGGAAAGGTACTAGTATTTTCTTCCACATTCAGGTGAGGAAATTGAGGCTAGAGAGATTAACTAACTTGCCCAAAGTCTCAGGGCAATTAAGTGGCAGAGTCTGGATTCAAAGTCAGGTAGTCAAATTCCAGAGCCTGTCCTTCTAACTTCTCACTACACTGCCCTCTCTCATAAAATAAGATCATGTGCCAGGAGCCCTGCACAGTGCTTGGTGTAGCAGGCTCTAATACCTGGTGGGGGCACCGGCATTACTCAGCTCAGTGCTGTGACAAGTAACTGACATTACTGTTCACAAATATTATTTTCCCAGCAACCAGGGGACACTCCTATCACTCCCTGTAAGGACACTGTGGCCCAGAGAAATTATGGTTCTTATCCTAAGTAACCCACAGTGTCACACAGGGGAAAGATTCCCTTGGGTCTTACAGCCAGGATTCAAACCTGGCTCTGAATGACGCCAAAGGTCATGTTCTCATCCAGGACCCTGTACTGGCTCCTGAAAAAGCTGCTTCAAAGGCTGCAGAGATGCCTTCTGACCTGATGGTGTGGGACAGGGCCAGGATTCCCAGCACGAAGAAATACATGGACAGCAAGAGGTTGATGTACTCCTGGGAGAATATCTGAGGCAGAAATACAAAGAGAAACAGAAAGTCAGGGTTGCTGGTGGCTGGGAGGAAACCAGAGTCCCCGCTTCTCTTCTGGAGGTTGGTTGCACCCCTCTGGAGTTGGGAACAGTGTCCGGGAGAATCTCTGACAGCACTAGGGGCCTCCTAGTTTCTGTGGCCATGGGGAAAAAAGAGAGGACCACAGGTACACCTCCCAAAGGAGTCTGGGTTTGCACTTGGTGGCTCCATTACCCGGAGACAGGCAATATTATGTCTGTGTCCAGAGTCCTGCATGGGAATCGTGGGGGAGGAGAGTCTGAGGTTCAGAGTCCCAAGAGAGCTGTCTGGACCTAAGAACATACTCTTCAGTTTCCTTCTCCAAGGCCGGAGCATGCTGATTACGCCCTGCCTCTCTCTCCACATCACGCTCTTCTGGACAACTCCTCCCATGGTGATGACTGGGAGGTAGACAGCCAGCCCTGACAGCTGCTTCTTGGTCTTATATTGTTAGTGAAACTGAGAAATGTTCTCTCTCACAGTGATCCAAAGCCAACTGTCACATGTTGTTAATTCTAGACTTGGGGAAGGCTCTGCCATGTTCCGCCTCAGTCACTGCATCGCCTTCTGAATTTGTTATGAGGGTGTCTAACTGGGAGGCGATAATGTGCTGTTGTGTGGGCCACAGGACACTGGACACTCTCATGTAGGGCTGTTCTGGAATCGGTTTAAATCTGCCCATGTGATCACGTCACTCCCCTGCTTAAAGCCTCCCAGCAGCAGCTCCCTCTGCTCTCATGGCTGAAGGCCTCCATCCTTACCTTGGCCTCTCAGGCGCTCATGGTGACCACTGCACACCTCCTCTGTTGCAGCTCACACCATGCCTGTTCTTGCTCTACATGCTTCCCGGACACTCTCTTCTCTTCACCTAGGCCAACCCTACTCACCATTCTTCTGCTCTCAGCTAAGCAGCTTTCCTTGACATGGCAAGGAAATTCCTCATTAATTCAGCTCATGTTTACTGCCTACTGCCTACTACATGCAGGGCATCATGCTAACCACTGGGGAGTTAGCAAGGAATAAGGCAGAAAAGTCCCTGCTCCAATGGAGTTCATTTGCCAGTGAGGGAAAAAGAATCTCAAAAGAAACAAATATGCAATATATTGCCAGGCGGTGATGGGAGCCAAGAAGAAAAGCTAGCAGGGCAAGTAGATGGAGAGAGAAGTGGGGAGAGCTGCTCTTTAGACAGGTGTCCAGGGAAAGCACCCCCAAAACAGGATGACGTTCACTTCATTTAGGATAGGACCCTTAACAAAGGGTGCAGCTGTGAGGATATTTGGGGGATGAGCATTTGAGGCAGAGGGAAGGGCGGGTGCAAAGGTCCTGAGGTGGGTACATGCTTATGTGTGCAGGGAATAGTGAGGGACTGAGTCTGGAGCTGAGAGAGCAAGGGGAGAGGGTCAAGAGATGAGGCTGGGAAGGTAGGAGGGAGACAGACCCTGCACGGCCGTGAAAAGGCTTTGGATGCATCTGGGTGAGACAGGCTGGACCTGGACGGCTATGATGTGATGGCCTGGGAGGATCCCTTTGCTGCTGTGTGGAAGACAGTACAGGGTAAAGGTGGAAGCAGAGCCCAGTGAGGAGGGCATTGCATAATCCAGTGGAAGGAGGGCAGTGCCCTGGGATGGGATGGAGGGAAGTGATGAGCAGTGGTCAGACTGCAGATTTGGTCTGGAACTGCAGATGCAAGACGTGCTCAGGGGCTAGCATAAGGCCTGAGAAGGAGCAGGGAGCAGGTTTTTTGCCTGAGCAGTGCGATGTGGATGGAGGTGCTGTTATCTAATATGGAGGGTCTGGGCAGGAGCTGGGGTTCATTCCAGGATGGTTCTTCTGTGCTTCCCTGGTGCTCCAGACCTTGCCTTCACAGCACTTCCTAGCACTGTACCTTCTCATTTACCTATGTGATCATTTAATGAGCGTCTGTCTCCACTGCTTAACAAGAAACTCCTTGAAGGCAGGGAAGGGTTGGCTGTTGTTCTTACTCTGGTGTTCCTGGCACCCAGCACAGGGCCTGGTGTGTAGCAGGCACTCAATAAACACTTACAGAATGAGTGAATGGATGAGCAAATCAGTGGCCTATATTGTGAATGCTATGAGAAAAAGACCTATGAACATAGGCATGCAGATTGTGTCTTACTTGTGATGTGGTGTACTTCTCACACAGTGTTCTGCCAATGCGGCCCTTGGGAAAAATTTCTCTGGCTACACCTTTGAGCTTCTGGTTGGCCTGACTCTGTGGACTAGGAATTGTGCGCCAAGTCTCGCTTTCTTGGTGCCCTGGCTGCTAGAAAGTTTAATTTTCATGAGCTGCCTCAAAGCAATCAATTTTAGATGAGATGGGATTAAGTAAATTTTATGATTTTGAGAAATGTTAGAAACTCCAGTTTAGAAACACTCAGGAAAGGAGGAAAAGGGCTGTGTGACAGCTGCTGCTAAACAAACCAACTAACCAGCTGTCAGTCTGGAGCCCGGGAGGAATCCGGTGGCTGTGTTGTCCAGGAGAACTGCCTTTCAGAAATGTGGGCGTAGACATTCTGGAGACATGGGGAAGAGGTATGCTGTGTCCTCTGGCACGAGGCAGGCTGGGCTTACCTGCCAGGAGAGGAGGACAGGCCAAGCAACAGACATCCAGTGCCTTAAATAAAAATGTGCACACCCTCTGCTACCAGAAATTCCTTCCTAGGGAATTTAGCCTAAGGAAGGAATCCTAGGTACTAAATATGTTAGAAGGTCTTGAGGCAAGGGCCTGGATGTGTATTCCTGGCACTGAGCAAGGCAGAGACTTGAGAAATATCTGCTAAAAGCCAAACCAGAGGCAATGGGCTAAATGTACACAGAGCCCCAGAGAGATCTCAAAAGTACAGGGGAAAGAAAAAGGAAACAGGGAGATGTATTGCACAATTCTATTTACAGAAATTAGACCCTCACTCAATACACACAGATGCACCAACACCATATATTTTACAAAGAGACACATCTAAGGACATAAATCAAACCATTAGAGCAGGTACCTCTGACAGAGCGGGAAAAGGAGGTGGGAAATGAGGCGGGCATCAGGGGTATGGGGGAGGGGGGACAAGGAGTGGGACCTGGCATGAATTGATGACGCTGTGCTATAAACCAAAGCATTTGATAAACTTTTCAGCTGAGGTCCAGGAAAAAAAGGAAAAAAACAAAACCAAAATTGATCAATACCTCATATTACTTGATTCACTCTTATTTATTGATAAGAATAAAAATCAGAATGATTTTTTCTGTTTAAAGTGAGGGGGATGATGTAAGGCAACCACGGTGGATCTGCTTAGGGGGATATCCTGAAACCATTAAAAAGAGTAGTACTGATCCAACAACGAGGGAGCGATGGACCAGGAGACAGGCATTAGCAATTACATTTTACTGGTAAAAACAAAGAATCTGGATGCTACCCAATGCAGGTGAGGATACCAGGAAGCCAGCACACTTGTGACTGTTAGAGGGAATGTAAACTGGTATAATCTCTTTGGGTGGATGGGGCACTATCTGTCCAAATTACAAACAGAGACGCTATTTGACCTGGCAATCTTACTGCAGATACACTTGTAAATATGTCCAGGGGCCAAGATATGTGCACGAAGACGTTCCCGGCAGCACTGCTGTGATGCCCCAGCACTAAGTACCTCTCAGGACACAGCCATAAAACAGACCTGCAAGTGGCTGTTAAAAAGAATGAAGCAGCCCGGCTGGGCGTGGCTCAGCGGTTGAGCATCGATCTAGGATCCAGGCGATCGGGGTTTGATTCCCGGTCAGGGCACATGCCTGGGTTGCGGGCTCGATCATCAATGACTTTCTCATCATTGATGTTTCTATGTCTCTCTCTCCCTCTCATTTCCTCTCTCTGAAATCAATAAAGATATATTTAAAAAAACAAAACAAAAAACTCCATTAAAAAAAAAAAAAGAATGAAGCAGATTTAACTGTCTTGATACAAAAATATCTCCATGATAAAAATCACATGTTTGAAATATGTATTTTTAAATTTTACCATAAATGTAGATCTGTACATGAAAGATTCATAAGAAACTATACTGAGAAGAGGATTATGGCTCATTTACACCTTCCCTTAGATTGAAAAAAATTTAACCATGTATATGGTATTTTTAAAATGTAAATTAAAGGTTGTCCCTGAGGAATTTTCACTGACCAGGAAAAAAATGCTTGTGGTACACTATTTTAAAAAAAAGACAAAACACTACTGTTACAATGATTATTATAGTTACGTTAAAAACAGGCTTATCAGAAACCTGAAAGGAGATAGGCCAAAATGTCAAAAGGGATTACTTTTGTGTATATTTCCCTCTCTTGATATTTCCCCTCCCTTTCTTTACGTTTTCTGCGTATATTACTTTTATAACTAGAAAATAAGACATGTTATATATTAAAAAGGAGTTTAAAGAGAGTTTGCAGTAACATGAAAAAATGCTTATGATGTTATTAATGGGAAGGAAAAGAAGCAGCTACAAAACTGAACACACCACATGGTCACAGTGACGGCAAAACCATGCACGGGAGAAATGGTGGAAGGACACACCTCAAAAGGGAATCTGTGACTGTCTCTGGAGGAGGGGTTTTGGATGACTGCTGTTTTTCCCTTTTTATTTTTCTGTGTTTTCCAGGTTTTCAACACTGAGCCTGTGTAACTTTTATTAGGAAAATAAACCTCGATAAATTAAAAAAAAAAAAAAAGCAATTAGTATGGTAGAGGTATGTCTGAGACACAAGCTGTACCCCATCCCAACATAAATAGTACCATGAAACCAAACGGGTATTACGCAAACAAAACAAGAAGCTCCACGCAGAAAAGAAGTCAAGACTGGTGGGACAGAGTCCCAAACACCAATAGCGGTTGTCTCTGGGAAGTGGGTCTAGGGGTGGATTATGATGATTTTTTTCCTGCTCTTTATTTTCTATAAATAAACATGCATGCCTCCCATGATGGAAAAAACAAAATAAAATAAAGTTACTGAAACCAAATGACTAACAGAGGGCAAAGACTTACTTTGAAAAAGAGGTAGAGCCCCAAGAGCGTGCAGCTGGCGATGATGGGGAAGCGGGCGGCGTCCCGGCTGGTGATCGTCTCGGGCATGTCCGAGGCATTCTAGAGGAGAGAACAAAGGTGCCGACTGAGCAGGGGTGTGATTCTGGCCTCCAAGGGCTGGAAACTGGTGAGAATTTGATGCCCCAATAGCTCATTCATCTCCTTCCCGCTCTGCCCAGGTTCAATTTGGTGCCTCAGGGGTCGTATGCTTTCTTAACTCAAGGCTTTGTTAATGCTGTTCCCTCTGCCAGGAGTGCTGCCTAACCACCCTGGGGCAGGATGCTCTGATCCTACTATTTTGGCATTGAGGAAATCTGGACCCTGACAGGGAAAGTCCAGGGAGGATCCCATGCACATGTGGCTTACCTGGGGAGAGGAGCTATGGCAGAGGCAGTCAGAGTATGTAATAACTGGAAAAAAACCCCAAAACTCTGGAAACAGATGACAATAGTTGTCCTAGAATTCATGAGAACTATTTCCAATTTTCTTATGGATTAGCTAAGAGGTAAATATGATTAATCTTTTATCCAGTAGGTAGTGAATATTGTGTGGAAACAAACCAACAACCAACAAAACCGACAATGGTTGGACCTGCACATGGGAAGGCACTGCAGTGAGAAGCCAATCTTGACAACACTTAAAAGTTAAGAAATTTGGGAAAACCCAATCTGGTAAGAGTGAAAGCCACAACTGAATTTACCATGGCAGATGCTGTAGTTGGCAGGAATGTGATGTGGTAAAAAGCTGACAGAGGATAAATGTTTACATGAAAAATAACGGAATGCAATCAAAATAACTTTATTATTATAAATATGGAAACAAATGGAAGTGGAGTAATACTGCAGCATAGGAATTAAACAGCTTTATAGAATTCATACCAAAAGACTTTCTAATGAAAATCCATCGATGGTCATACATTAAACACAGGGTGAAAAGTGTTCAGGACCATGATGCTCTCCATGCCCTCTGCGAGGCAAAATCCTCAGTCCCCAAGGACCCAGCAAATGTCACTGCCACGAAGCTTTTCCAGATCCCCCACTGGGATAAGCCTACTTCACAACTGCCACTCTCACTGCATATTATGTCTAATTCTACTTTATATTATAGCTACCGAAAGTCCTGGCAACACCAGATTAGACTTCTGCTCATGCCAGAGAGAAGTTCTCTCCACAACAGCCACAGACTCATCTCAGTGCCCGAGATTCCACCATCATGTCCATCCTGTGAATAAGGCACCAGTGTCCCTAAGAGATCATGTTCAGCTGTAGTCTCATTAATATTTTGGCTCACAGCTGCCTCCTAAAAACCAACAGGCCAAAACAAGCTAAGGAGGAAGCTGCCTGGAGAGGCAGATTTTGGCCCAGGGAGGCCCTCATGCATCACAGTGGAAGCCTGCAGAAGGGGAAGGAGATGGGGGCACAGAGCAAGAAGCCCATGAAATGATCACTAGGAGATGAAGGGGTATGGAACTGGGATGCTTATATGCCACCCGTTTGTGTACAAACTGGTCCAGCCTTTTGGGGAGTGCAGCTTGGCAGGTGCGTCAAATCATAACCTGCACATGGTCAAGATACAAAGAGAAGATTCACAGAATAGGAACTACAAATGGCTTTTAATCACAGGACAAATGTTCGTCCTCACTTTTAACAAGAGAAGCTCAAATTAAAATACCCTGAGATTCCACTTTACATCATCAGGATGGCAAAAATCCACAAATTTGATAATACGCTGAGTCGGTGAGGCTGTGGGGAAAATGGGCTGACCCACACTGGTCTTGCTGTAGAGCACGTTGGCAATAGCTGTTGAAAGCATAATGTACATATCCTTGGACCAAGCAATTCCACTTCTGGGAATTTTTCCTACAGATATAATTCACACGTGTGCAAAACGATGCATATAAAGTATAGCCAAGGTATTCATTGCTCTCTTAATGGCTTCCTGGGTGACTGAGACAAATCATTTATTCATCTGTCAAACAGGTGACAATCTCTAGTTTTACTTACCTCTAAAAGGGTCTCCTAAACCAAATGAGATATGAGATGTGAAAGATCCTGGCAAACTAAAGTGCTGTGATCATATGAGAAGCTGTGATGAGGCCCCCTTCATCAAACCCCCACAAAGGCATGGCTGAGGGGCACAGGTACAGGACTGGAAGATAGCAGCTCCCCTCTGGAGCTCCCTGAGGCAGCTGTGTGAGTCATTCTCTGGAAGCTTTGCTGGCAGGTGGCAACACTGGGGGTGGGTGAACAACACTGACACTGAGAGGCAGGGTTATCATCCCTCCCTTCTCTCTCAGCCCTTAGTTTCTGCTTTTGTCAGGAGTGTGCTGGGGGGCTTGGGCAAATTCCTCCACAAATTCTATGTTTCCTACGTTTGAGCACACACAATACAAATAAACCAACCCCCTTACCCCCCCCCAAAAAAAAAACTAGCTCCTGACCTCAAAGAGTTCACAGGCAGGCAGGATAAGACCTTGACAGCAAACAGAATATTACAATATGCTGTGACACGTGACAAAGTAAGACATGTATACTGAAGCGATGCATGGTACAAGTGCCAAATGGTTGAGAGAGGGTTCTGATGTCAGAAAGCCCAGTCTGCCTGCTCTGCCTCCCCAGCTGTGGGACCTTGGGAGTTATTCTCTCTCAGGGCCTCAACTTCCTCAGCTGTAGTATGAGTTGTCAGGAGTCTATGAATTTTGCACTGGAAGTATTCAGTGCTGTGCCTTGAGCTTGTCACTCAAGCTGTATAAACAATTTTTGTATTATATACACAGGAATCACAAGAAAGCAAACAGGACACTACTTCTGCACGGAAGCAGGGGAATGTCAGAAGTGGTTGGAGCAGATGCCACTTAAGGAAGAACTTAAAGGCCAAGCACACAGGTGTGAAAGTACACAGTGGACTCTGGCTTCACCTACCAATCAATGTTACGGCTCATTTCTACACATTCCATTCATTTCAGCCCAGTATCCTGGGCGGGAAAAGGCTTAATATTATTTGATGACAAACCAAGGTTGAACAGATGCTCCATCAAACAAAGGAATCAGGTCTCCTCCATGAGTGACTGTTATAAATATCCCATGCTGTAATGCTGAGTCAGGATGGGAGACTTGAAATCTGACTGAAAGTAACAGTAATAAGGATAACATTTAACGAGAGCCTTCTAGGGGTCAACCACTGTTCTAGGCATTTTACATCTTCACAAAAGCTGTATAAAGCAGGTACTTTTAGTAGCTCCATTTTATAGATGAGGAGACTGAGGGTCAGAGAGGTGAAATAACTTGCTTTAAGGTCACACAGCTGGCAAGCAGCAAAGTCAGGATTCACAATGAGGCCGTGTGGTTCCAGAGCCCAAACTCTTGGCTATTACTCCCTAGGTGCCCTCTGCCTTTCCTATCTGGAAATTTCTGCTGGAAAGTTGTGACGAGATGCTCAGGAAGCCGGGGTCCTTTCTGAGGAACAGACTCCTGGCAACAGAACAGTTAATCATCATAGTTATAAAAATAAAAAATGTTGTTAGGATTTTCTAATTCAACTTGGATTTTTTTTTTTAACCAGACACTCCTATGTGAATGCAATAGCTTCTGACACACGAAACATAATTTGAATAGGGGGGAAAGCTGGCACAGTAGCAGAAATAAATTTAGCTTCTAGTGACATTCTGGATGTTCAGTTATCAGGGTGGAAGCAAAAGCAGTGAGGGGAGACAGATGCCCGGCTTCAAGTAATCGGTTTAGCTCAGGCTCTGGAGTACTGCTTCCAGGCCATGCCTTAGAAACACTCTGGAATTTGCTCTGGAATTTGTGGACCATCCTGTTACTCTATCACTCCAGCTGGAGATCGCAGGGTCTCCTCTCCTTACCACAATGCTCACTCACTACCCTGCCACAGTTCTGCTTCCTAAGCATTTCCTGAACTAACACCCCCCACTCCAATCCTCTGCTCCCAACCACCTCACCGGCCTCTTTCCTTTCTCCCTCCTGCCTATTACCACCCTGCCAGGAGCCCTTTCGGAAGCTGAGACCTGACTGTATCACATACCTGCTCAAAACCCTCCGGAGAATGAACTACTAAGCAGCCATTACACAGGAATCGAGGTCACTGTGGGCAGGAGTGTAAACTGATACAACCCCAATGGTGGATAATTTGGTAAAATTAAAACACTCACATTGTCTTTGACCCAGCAAATCAATTTCAAGTAATTTATCCTACAAATACACAGACAAATGTGAAATAACTGTATGAGATAAATTTCAGCATGGCCTGTAACAGCAAAGGACTGGCACAACCTCAATGACCAGCAGAGGACTTTAAGTCAGGGCTCTCACACTTAGGCACACATCAGAATCACCAGGAGGGTTGTGAAAACAGACTACTGGCCCACCTAAGGTTCTCATTCCGAATCTGCATTTCTCGTAAGTTCCCAGGTGATGCTGCTGCTGCTGGTCCCGGAGTCACGCTTGGGGTACAGGCGGGACACCGGACAGCTATCAGATAAGAACACGACCACTCCATAAGTAGACATATTTATCGCCAATATATATTCAATGAAAAAAGGAAAGGTGCAAAGGAGTGTATATATAATAAAATATAATAGTTATACAGCAAAAGTGGGGAAAGCATGTTTACTTATTTGTAAAGGCATAGAATCTTTTGGATGGTTATCCAAGAAACAGGGTCTGCGTCTGAGGGGAACGAGGGCCACTGGTGGGAGCCTCACTGGGCACCCCCTGCTCTGGACTCTATGCCACGGGCACGCATCACCCACCCTCCCTGCCGCAGACAACGAGGCAGATCTACGTGTACTGACATAGGAAGTGACCAAGATATTGTTAAAGAAAAAGTAAATCAAGCTGCAGAGTTTTATGCCCTATAATTCCTTTTTTTTTAATCCTCACCGGAGGATATTGTTCCTATTGCTTTTCAGAGAGTGTGGAAGAGAGAAAGAGAAACATCGATGTGAGAGAGACACATCGATTGGTTGCCCTCCAGCACCCTGACCAGGCCAGGGATCGAGCCTGCAACTGAGGTCCATGCCCTTGGCCGGAACGGAACCCGGGACCCTTCAGTCCACAGCCAACACCCTAGCCACTGAGCCAAACCGGCCAGCGCTAAATCCTCATTATTATAAAATAAACTTACATATGGGTATACACAGGCATACACGTATGTTTGTATAAACACAGAAGTTCTGGAAGGTTACACACCAAACATCCAACTGAGTTGCTTCCAAGGAGTGGTACCGAGGAGGCTTTTCCTTTTACTTCTGCATTGCTTGAATTTTTTCCCCCCAAGTGCAAGTGTGCAGTAATTTAGTAACTATGAAGATTAACTGTTGCGTTGCCTCCAGGATTCAGTACCTCAGAAAACCCATAGGCTCCCTGAGCATCTTTCTGTCCCCCCATCCAAGCCTCACATCACACTACTCCCCACCTTGCTTGTGGTCCCAGGCCTCCCTCCTTCCTGGTCTGCCTGCTGAGCTCTCACTCGTCCATGCAAAGACAACTGCTGCCAACTCTAAGAGGCACATCAGCACTCAGTTTAGTTGTCTGGTCACACACCTGTTTCTCTTTGGTGACTGAGCTCTGTGAGGGCAGGGCTTGGCCTTCTTTGTCCTGGCACCCCTGGTACCCAGCCCAGGGCCTGGCATAGAGCAGGAGCCCGCTCCAGTTGGCTGAGGGCATCCTCTGAGTTACAGGCCAAGCGCCTTTGAAGCAATCTGCTGTGCAGCTATTGCTGGGCCTGGGATCTGCTCCTTTTAGGGAACACAGGTCTCTGACAGGAATGGGTACCCTCCAAGATGACTCCTCCCATGCCTACTTCTCCCTAACACACTCCTGGATCCTCCGCTTCCTTCTCCCCAATATCTCTGCCTGTTTTGGACAAGTTGGTCCCAGGGAGAATTCTGTCCTCACATGCCCTCTCTCAGCTGGCTTTGGGGTTTAACACTGGTGGGAAATCAAAACTCTTGGGCCCCCATTCTGACTTTTCTCTCTCCTTGCCAAATGACCAGGTAAGCATGACTCAGGGCCTGTCCTTTCCCTAGGCCAAAATGCCACTTGAATCAAAAAGGCTTTGTAAACTTTAGGATGTACTGGTGGTGGGGGGCTGCTGAGTAAGGATCAGGGTGTTTGCAGCTTCATGCATAGTCTTCCACCCGCGCTGTCCCGCAGGAGATGCTGGGGGGAGGTGTTTAGAGGCAACGGTGGACCTAAAGCTCTCTTCTATCCAGACCCTCTGCTCCAGCCACCTCATCTGCTAAACTGCCTCACACCCTGATTACCTGGTTTCCTCATTCCCAGAATGTCTTCTCCATTAAGGCTCAAGCCCACCTTCAGCACAAAACTGCCCTGCCCCACGCCAGGTGTGCTCAGCCTTTCTCCCTAAACCCTGTATTACAATCACAGAGCTAGGTATTCCTCCCTCACCCAGACACCTAAACTCCCTGGTGACAGGGCTCTGACCCACTTATCTCTGTAGCATCCCCACACCCTAGACAATACTGGAGGTTCAGGAAGGAAACTTTGTTGCCTGGAAGGTGTTTTCTGAAGAGATTAGTGATCCATACGTGGAGAAGGTGCCCAGAATTACTCAAGATAGTTTTGGGAGCCTCTCAGCTAAACCGTCCAGCTTACATATGCTGCCCCTCACCTCCTTTGTCCTGGTCTATTTCAGAACTTCTCCCTGCACCAAGTGTCTCCCTGAAAGGTACGGGAGGGAGGCTGAAGGCCACCTGAACTCTGCTTAGACGAGGCAGAACAGAAAGGTAAATGGGGCCACCCTCCCTGACTACGCCCCCTGCATCTGACCAGCAGCTGAGTTCTTGGATCTTGAGGAAGGAAGGTGGCAGGCCTCAGCCACTGCTCAAGTTGGGTAATGTTTCGAGAGTGCGGGTTTTAGCAGTTTCAAAAGTGGCAGCTGCTTTGTGGGCCTGACCTCTTTGGGTAAGACAGCTTCCGCTTAGGCTCAGCTTCAGGTTTGTGTGGGGAGGAGCAGCAAGGAGCTGCAGATCAGGAGGTGGTGGAGGAGGGGATGGGTGCCAGGAAGTGAGAAGCCACTGGCAGAAGGGGCTAGAGAGGACTTAATATAGGGAAGAAGGGAGGGGGGAGGAAGCGGAGAGGTGGAAGGTGCTGGGGTTCTCTTTGGTATCCAATGGGACAGAGTTGAGGAAAACCAGGGATGGGGTCTGGCCCGGTCTTACCCGAGAGGCCAACAGCAGCTCAGGCGCTCAGTAGGTAGGCCCAGTTTGGTGGAGGGACTGTCTTGGGTGCATAGAGAGAAAGGCTACTTTGAGGTAGGGTCATGGCCTGGGGTGGGAACAGGGTTAGGGATTAGAACTGGGTCTGGGCTCTGGTCGGCCAAGGTTAGCTGGTTGTCAGGGAGAGGAAACCAGCAAAATAAGGTGTCTCTGTCTGGTTAAAAAGGGAGGCACCAAGGTGCCAGGGACTGAGGGGCGGGCTGGCTGGAGCTGGTTCCAGAAAGTGATGTAAAACACCGTAGGCAGGCCTGGGGCTACACTCCTGGGTTAATTTTTTAGAGGCAGGGGCAAGGGCCTGATCTGGGGTTTCTGGGAGAGCACACGACAGGCCAGATTCCAGTCAGACAGGTGTCAGAGTCCGGGGATGGGCCTGGGTGCTAGAATCTGCCTTGGGATGGGGAGCGGCAGGGTTCCTCACAGAGGGATGACGCGAGGCTGTGCCCGTCAGGAATTCTCGGGGCCAGTGCCCGCCAGGTACAGGCCGGGGTTACTCCAGGGCGTGGGACGGGGTGCCTGCCTCAGAAGTTAGTGCCGGAATCGGGGAGGGTCGGCTGACAGCGTTAGAAACCAGGCCCTGCTCGAGGAAGGTGTCAGCAGCCGGTTCGCGGGTCGGTGCCCAGATGTGGCGGCGCCTAAGGCCGGGCGCGGGAAGCGGGCCCGGGGCGGGGATCGAGCCTCGGACGGGTCGGTGTCAGCTCCCTCTGCGGCGGGTCCATGCCAGCCGTGCCCCGGGTGGGAGGCGGGAAGCACCCGGTTGTGCCGCGGCCCCTACCTTGCCGCGGGCGCAGCGCACGGAGCGCAGGGCGCCGAAGAAGATGGGCAGCAGCGCCATGAGCAGGAGGCTGCCGTAGGCCAGCGCGATTCCCTCGGGCGTGGAGGGCGGCCGCGCCGTGCCGTTGGCCGGGCTGCCCGCCTGGGCGCTGCCGTTCTGCGGGTCGCTGAGGGCCGAGTCCATAGCGAGTCTGCGCTCCGGGGGCGACTCCAGTTCGGCCGCTGCAGCGGAATCGCAGAAGGGAAGACAGGCACTGCGGGGAAAGCCACGTTCCCCTAAAGGAACAGGAAGTGACGTGCCTCCCGCCGGCCGGGCTGCGCACGCGTGCGCGGTCACGCCTCCCCGCCCGCGCGCCCCCTAGCGGAGGCGGAGGGCCGGGCGGC